CATAAATCTGGTTTCAAGCGTTTGATAGAGATTGCTTCGGCAAACTTGAGGAGAATGGAACTCCTTTGCCTATTGATAATTTTAAAGGATTTCTCGATTTCTACCTCATGACCCGTGTCGAGAAGATGTCTAGTAATGGCGCTGCTATAAGAGTTTGTTTGTTTCTGTACGCAAACCTCATAATTTATTTAGGCTGTAAGCAGCTGATGAGAAGCCTACGAAATAAATGATGGTACCGTATTATTCTGCACAAACCACTGTTGTTCTTGCTTTATTCAAATAATTGCAATTGTTTATATTTGGTGCACTTTCTGCTTTATTTTGCCATGTAAATATCGGAAGACAAATACTTGCTCGTGACTGCAATAATTTCAAATAAAAAATAAACTATATATTATTTATATATATATTCGTCACGCAAAATTATCCTTAATCATGGATGGATAAAACCATTTAATCTGATTCCTTTAAACATAAGGACAGCGAAATTGTCCAATGGCGACGCATATCAAACTTCGAAATACAAAATGCTCTATCCCAAGCGATTAATAAAATAAGAATTTTTTGATAAATTCAATTTTATCCAATTCCTGTGAGATGCATGAAAATCAATAATCAATCAATATTAATCGAAAGTGTAGTAGGGAATATCGATCACTGTAGCCTTTCATCATTTCAACTAGCCTAGTAAACACAAGGGAAAAGAAATCGATTAGAAAAAAGAAAGAACTACAAAGCTAGTAAACAATAAAAACCAAGAGTGTTTGTTTGTAGGGATTTGATTTGTCCCTTGTTTTGATCACGGATCGATGTTAGTTAGAGAAACTTTGAAAAACAGCAGGGAATACTGGACGGCTGTTTCATCCTAGTACGGGGCACTAAAATCACGGATTGATGTAGAAGTTAGAATTCATGGGTTGGCCATTGAGTCGCATCCCGGCGGCTGAATGGTTTACGAGCTTTCCTTGTAACAAGGAGGTCCTGTGTTCGAATCCTGATGGTGGGTGCGTACTACCGATTACTCCAGAGGGAATAAGACAAAACAGCTTTTCAGATCTACCTGGTTATCAGTGGTTCTCTAAATGATATCAATGCTTGACCAGAGGTTGAAGTAAAATGTCATAATATATATTTTAAATCACTTCTCTCAATGGCTCAATGGTCTACGAACTCGCCTTGTAACCAGAAGGCCCTGGGTTCGAATCCCGGTGGTGGATGCGTACTGATGAAGGGTCCCAAACTGAGCTGACGAAACAGCTGTCAAGTACTCTCAGGTTTTCCAGTGGTTCTCTAACTGATGTCAGCTCCTGATGAAATCCTCCATGCACTTCTCTCTTTGTCTCTCCCAAATACCTTAATAATCAATTTTGACTGCTTTACTACTGATGATATGAGAGTATTTGATTCTTAAAAGTCTTTGTGTAACTTTGAACATCAGTTTAAGAGTGTATAAAGTGTTAAAATGTTTTGATCGGATCACAGTTTAGTCCGTAAAGTTAGAAATTAATGCTAGAAGAGACTGAGAATCTCCATTGTACAACACATTTTTGATAAGTGCTCACAAAATTACCTAAGTGACTGAGATTCGAAGCCGTGTCACCCAGTGAGAATGCTACAGTCAAAGACTGAGTTGTTACAGCTCGCAAATGGTCTCCTGTATGACTGTAGTGGATACTTTGATTGGATACTGGGTAGTGACTAGTATCATTTGTCTGGTTCTTCGTCTAGTGCAGACTGAATTCTACCAGTTGATTTTTCAATGGGACTACCACCATGCTAGGTGGCTCACCATCACGGTGTACTGTGAATGGTTGTTAATAGATGGTTTGAGGTAATCTATAGGGTGCCTTGTGTGGCCTAGGTTTCGTGCTTGTTGGTACTTAACAGTCATGCAGGTTTATCTACTATCTTGAAGGAACTCATGTCCCTCTTTTGGTTAGAACCCGTGTCACCTGGTGCTACAGTTAGAGATGCTGCGTTTTCTGCATTATGTACAACTACTTCATGACACATTGACTAATCTACGAAGATGAATTTGGTTAGATGTATGTAACGCTCACTTATCACTTCTACTTTTGATATTAGATGGTTGGAGCCAATTGGCAGGAAACCTTGGACCTAGGTTTCGTGCTAGTTGACACTCACCAGTCACTCAGCAAGGCGTGTCTCTAACCTTGACGGAACTCGTATCCCTTCTGAGATTGGAACCCACGTTACCCAGTGCTGCAGTGAGAGACGTTACCACTAACCAGCTATTTGGGCTCGTGATTGGCTTCCTATAGGACTGTATGTGATGTTTTTGATGGACACCAATCAGTAACTAGTATGGTTTGTGTTCGTCTAGTCCTCTCTTTGGTGCAGACTGAATTCTATCAGTCACACTTGGAATGTAGCCACCATGCTAGGTGGCTTACCTTCACGTTGCACCGTAAATTGTTGGTATTAGATGGTGGGAGACAATCAGCAATCCTATAGGAGGTCAGTCTTCAGCCCGAATAGCTGCTCAGTGGTAATGTCTCTCACTGCGGCACTTGGTGACGTCGGTTTGAATTTCAGAAGGGATGTGAGTTCCTTTAAGGTCGCAGATATGCGTTGCTGACTAGTGAGTGCCAAATAGCATGAAACCCAGGTCCAAGGCTTCTTGCTAATTGCCTCCAACCATCTAATGCCAACAATTCAATTCACAGTGCACCATGATGGCGAGCCACCTAGCTTTGTGGTAATCACATAGTAAACTTGACTGACAGAATTCAGTCTACACCAAACATAGGACTAGATGCATAACATCAATTAATTCATTCATTGTGTGAGGGCTGAGATACTGCCCGGGTGCCCAGACAGAAGCAGGTGGTTTTCTTAAGGGACCACTCCCCGAGCCTTTGACTTGGAGTCTAACCCGCAAGGCAGCGGAGCAGCGTCAGGTGCTGCGTTCACATGGTTGCCGGTGACCCATATGGGTTCGTACGCCATTTTAACCGATTGGATTCTGGAGCCCATGTACCCCATGGTAACTGCTTTTTGTCTAACCGCTATCCAAACAACCTTCCTGACATGGTAGGACCTGCAGGGACATGAGTCCCAGCCAGTTTAGCTTGTTGGGTCATTGCGGCATTCAAGCCCGACCACCACGGCAAGGTAGCAGTTATCGGCCGGGTTTGAATGAATGAAATAAAGCAACAGAATATCAGTGGAACTTATCGCGCGCTCGTAACAATGCGTTCAATCAATAATGATGTCTCAAGTAACACATCTCTTTCCAACCTTACTTTTATTTTTATACTTAGTTTCCGGTTTTTTAACCTTTGCTCACCTTGACTTCTTAACCTTCGACAGCCTTTCGCCTTTGTCTGGATTCCTAGCCTATCTGTGTCGTGTTGCAATTTCCTTCTTTCTTCCCTTCCTGATGATAGTTAACGAATACTGTTTGAACTTGTTAAACATGACTGTTTTCCTTCCAGATGAAGTTCTTTATCCGTTTTCTACTTATATTTTTACTTTTAATCTATGTTGTTTTATTATTATTGCGTGGCGCATCTTTCTTGGTGCCATATTGTACCAAGTTTTTCTGCGTTAAAATAGAATAATAACATTAATTACTGACAAGTGTACAATCAAAAGACATCTACTTTTACTACCACAAACTAACACGATCTCTTCGAGGATTAGTCGATCTATCAAAGTGTTCAATCATTTTGTTGGAGGCGATTGAGACTAATATGAAGACTACAGATGTGGTGTAAATTAAAAAAAAACACAACAACAACAGAAAGACCTTCTACCACAGTTTTGTTTAGTCAGTCTACAAAAAAAAAACGTTCTGTTTAACTCTGATTATTTCATGCTGTCTAATTGCTCATCAGCTAAGTATCTATTTAACTTCTGGGGAAACTCGTGTTCCTTTAGATATATTAGAATATTTGTTGTTGAGTTACTCAGGCGATGATATTTAGCATTAACAAAATTACATCATGCTTAGTATGCTTAGATGTCATACCCGGTTATCTACCTATCAAAAATGACGTGTGTTTTGCTCAGCAATTCGCGCTTAGTCCTTCTTTTTGATTCGGAAAACATTGTCATTGAAAGTGGAGTATATGAAAATTTATAGCTGTCTCCGACCATATATATGTATGCCTTGTGCCTCCTGTATTAAATGGTGAGTAAAGTTGAGGTTGGGCATAGATTTTTAGGTAATAGAAAATATGAATCAATAGGATGGGCTTGTAAAGTTACATTTTTTAAAATTTATTATAGCTTGATTCCACACTGTATTTTGGTACAAGTATGAAATTTTCAGCATGTGATATCGGTAGCCCAAATTTAGCAGGCCGACCATAGATATCAGGTGTGCATCGGCGGGGGATCGAACCTCAGACCATGTGCATGGTCGACGAGAGTCCTAACCGCTGTGCCACCGACGCACATCGATTGAGATGGCTAGGAAACACATGCTACACATACCTCCTAACCAATGCCTTCCTCCTCGAGCAGTGTTAACTGACATTGGAATTACGTTGCCAGAGAGAGTTGGAGGCGGCGGTCAAATATAAACTTGGAATATACCAACCAAGAACCTATTGTGTTCAATAAATATAACGAAGAAAACGGAGATGGATGTTTGAAAACATGCTGAGGAGACCGTCAAATGTATATTGCGCTCTAGTCCATCGCCCTAGTGGAACTCGAATAGGAAACGACGAGTGGATCGTCCTAGGGGGTGGTGACATGGAGGAGATGAGAGATAATGGGCAATCGTGGAGCTGGCCAGCTGAAGAAGCCAGCCAGAGAATAGAACCTAGTGGAGATGTGTTGTTGAAGGCCTGTGTTCCACTTCGGAACCCAAGGGAACAATAGTATAACAGTAATAATACAGCCTAGTTGTGATTACTTCGTTATAAAGAAAATTCTCACTCTCCGCGACTGTCTTTTTAACTTTCGCCTATGATCTAATGTGCATATTAGTAATAAAAACTTCCCCGTTTTTATTTATTTTTTTATAGAATGATGCTGATCATCGTGTTGCTGCATTTCTTGCCAAGTTGGAAGAAGTTGGTATTGTCGATGAATAAGACCTTCTTTCTATTTATCTATCTATCTTTCTATTCATACGTACATACATACATATATGTAATATTTATCTTTATACATCATGTCATAAAGGTTGTGTTATATTATGAAATATCTTTTGAATACAAATCATTCCTATCTTCTATATTTACCTATTTATTTATTTATTCGTCCACTATATGGAATTTTGTGTCCACAGCACGCAATATTCTCTCTTTTTTCCTCTGCATTGATGCTACTTATCCTCATAAATGACAATGAAAAGCATAACACATTCCATGATGGGATAATTGACTACACTATACTCTGACAGCTTCCGCTCAACAACACCTTACTCTCTGTCTCCCTCAGGCGCGCGCGCGCGCACGCACTCTCCCTCTCTCTCTTTCTTCATCATCAAATGCGTGTTTTCTAATTATTTATTTATTTATTTAAAGGTGAGTTATTATAGCGAGAAATTCATTCATTCATACGCACCATGGTATTTCCTTCTTCAACGTATGCTTGCTCAAAGGCATTTTTATCTATCTATCTACCTATCTATATATATATATATATATATACAACAACGTCGCTCATTGAATAGAGAAGGGTATGTGTGAAAGGGAGAGGGGGGAAGCTGGGACGTTTCTGAGTGTCGTTGTTTTATAGAGTGGGATTCATGTACTGCTCAATTTATTTATTTATTGACATACATGGCTTTCCTCTTCTTCCTCTCCATCTGCTTTCTCTCCTTCTTCAAATCAACTACGCACCACTGCTCATGCATACACATTTTATTACGTAATTTATCCACCGTTGTGACAACAGTTATTATTGTTATTATTATTAACGGCCTTTTTTATTATCATTATTTTTTATTATCCTCATTCTCTTCTTCTTCTTCTACATTGAATTGGCTGTTTTGTAATGTGTGGGTATGTTTCTTTTCCTTCAAAGTCCCTTTTTAATCGAAATTCCTACTGTGATGTGCGTGTGTGTGCATGTGTCTGTTATGAATAGTATAATGTGATAAAATATTTCCTTTACACACAATTCTATAAAATACTGTTTTATTTATTTATTTATTTATTTATTAATAATTGTTTTCAAGAGTAGTTTGTAGGGATTTGATCTCTTTGATATATCTGATCACGGCTGTTTCGTCCTGGTTTGAGACTCTTCATCAGTATGCACCCACCAAGACTAGAACCCCAGTACCCTATAGGATGCGACTCATTGGCCAGTCTATGAATTCTAACGTTTACCAATTCGTGGGTAACTTGAGTTTTATGGTTTTCCTTGGTACTACTACTTACTTACTGTACTTAGAACACAGGATATAGATAGATTTTTCGAACACATTAACTCCAAGGTGGAGGCAATTCAATTCACTTATGATGAATTGGAAAGTCAGGAAGGGAAGCTTCCAATGTTAGATTCCAGCGTAAAAAGGAAGGAAGATGGGAAGTTAAACACTAATGTTTGCAGGAAACCGACGCATTCAAAGAGGTATTTGAACCTCCGATCTTCCCATCCTATGTCAGTAAAAATACGATTAGTGAAATGTTTAAGTGACAGAGCACAAAACCCAAGTAGTATCAAGGAGAATCTAAGACAGGAAGTGAGACATATAAGAGAATCCTTGAAACTTAATAATTACCCTGATAAATTAGTCAAGAAATATGTAGGGAAATGTAAAAATAAAATAAATAATGAGAGTAGTGATAGTGATAATAATAATATTAATGACGGCATGCATGTCAAATATGCACAAGACAACACCAACAATAAGGAATCTAAATCATCAGTAGTAGTTCCACACAAAGAAGGAACCTCGGAAACCTTACGCAGAATTCTTAACAAAACAGGAATAAAAGTGGTTGGCATTCAAACCCACAAACTCAATTAGAAACAAGCTTTGTCAGTTTTACGGATCAGTCCTGCGGAGCCTTTAAAACAAAACAACTTAGTTTATCTAATACCCTGCCTGCAATGATTGTCAGGTCAAATACATAGGTCAAACTATTAGAACAGGGGCAGTCAAACTAGCCGAACATAAAAACCCAGCAAAATCTCGATTGGTTGATCCAAATAAGATAAGAAATCTAGAGAATAGTTCAGCTATACCACTCACTACATACAATTACACACAACCATTCAATAGGATGGGATAAGATGACAGTTTTAAAATCTAATATCACAGGGTATAGGGAGAGATTGATAACAGAAGCTTTGTTTATCGAATCAACTGCAAATACGTGTAATAGGAATGGTTCAACACCTGTCCACCCAGATATCTGGAAAATTCTACTACTCCAACAACGACAAATAAAAGAGGACAAAGAAAACTATAAAACTGAAGTTTCGTGGTCGTGTGATTATAATTGATGATATGATTATGAACAATAAATTTTGTTCGAAACTGTGTCATCCAGTAAATAATACTGTTTCATTCACTGTGTGATACATCTAATAAACATACTAATATGGAAGTATTAGACGTATGTTTTGTTCTGGTTTTGGAACTTCTCGGCAGTACATACCCACCTGCAGGGTTCGAACCCAGTACCTTCTGGTTACAAGGGGAGCTCGTAGACCATTCAACCGCTTGGATCCGATTAGGACTAATTACATAATTTTTCTGATGATCACTACCACTACGTTGTTTTGTCTGGTTCTATGCTTTCTTATGTATATTCATATACACACGTCTTTCTCTTGAGTTCACTTGAATACTCTGTATAGGAAAAGTAAATTAGGTGTTTATGTGGCCTAAGTGGTCTAGCGGATAACTGGGTTCGAGTTTCAGTGGATGGGAGGACATCACTCACTTACTTATTCACTGGGGATTTCAGGTACATCTACCTGACGAGTCCCGAGTAGGATGAAATGCGCATGTCATGGATTCTACACTCCTAGTCACTATCGACGAAAAGTAAGTGTATGCGTATGTCTGTACTGACGTCTTCTGTGGATTGAGTTTGAGGAAACTGTGTCACGGTGGAGATAGATTTTACCATCACTGTCCTGTTGGTTAGCACATGTTGCGTAATCTTTTTTATGTAGAATGTTGTGGGAATAATTAGCGACTTGGTTACAATTGTTACGAATTGTTAACAGTCAGAGGAAACCATTGAAATTCAACAGGACGTAATGGACAGTCGTTTCGTCCTAGTTTGAGAGTCTTCATCAGTACACACCCATCACCTTGCTAACGTCAATCGAATCCAGAACCTTCGGCTTAGGAGGCGAGATCGTTCACTTTTCAGCCAGTAGAACAGAATCCGATGACCAGTGTTGATGAATTCTAACTTCTTTCAATTCACTGTTGATATTTATGTTATTTCAAGGTGTTGTTAGGATGGCTAATTCAGTGACTCAGTTTCGACGTAGAACTTTGCACTAGATGTGCACCAGTTTCAGTTGCTACACTCCCACCGCCTTGTAGCACACAAAGCAGGAGAAGAGATTAAAGAGAGATAATAAACAGAAGTGTGAGTGAGGTAAAAAGAATAGTAATGCTGAAGAACAATAGGAATTTATTGTACGCCAGCCATCACCGAGAACGATCAATTTGAGCCATATCAGCAGTTGTCTCCGGCCTTCATTGGTCCTTACCATCCCGAGGACCGCAACCAGTCAGTTAGGAAGTCTACACCTCAAAATCTGACACAGGAGATAAAACGAAGACAACTATGTTCAGAGACAGTAAACCTTTTCAATTTGCCACTATTAACAAGTCTGTTTTAATACAAAGTAATATTGATATTTCTGCTAAGCTTCATAACTCATGACATGACATTGATAATAAATAGGGGGGGGGGGGGGAAACAGAATCATCACCAAACATTTTGAAGGCAGAATAATGTGAACTACAGACTAGCTCAATAGTTTTAGCCATAATGGGGGGAGGGGTTGCCTGCCTAGTGGGAGTTCTTTAGGATGCTAAGAATCAGTGACTTGAAGCTGTTGGTGATATATAAGTCGAAAATGTACTCAGTGCTGCAGACGTATTCACTGTTTGTAGTGTACAGGATCCCATGCATTTCTACTCATTATATTTCTCTCGAATCCCTTTTTGTCTAATTTTGTCTGCTACATGGAGTGTGGCGATTCGAACTGTTGCACTTTTGTGCAGAATGTTATGTTGAAACTCAGTCAATCAGAATAGGAAAGAAACATGAAAACAATTTTTTTAAAACATAGGTGAATGTGTGATTTCCTGTCTACAGTGCTTAACAGAGCTAAGTTCAAACGTTCAATTGGTGTGTGCTTATTTTCTCATCAGATATCTCAAATTAGTGTGAAACACTTGCTGACTTATTAAATGAAACTACCTAATAAAGATCTTGACAAGTATCTATCGGCCAATCAAATGCGTCCGAAGAAGAAGTGCGTGATTTGAAAAAGACGTTTATCTATGAGTAATGCGACGTTAAAATTTAGTTACATAGGATAACTTCCTTGCATATGTTCCAAGAAAACCTTCCAATTTCTTATAGGAGTCCTTATGTAACAACGGAAGACAAGGGCCAAGCAACAGATCGTTTATTAAGGAAAATCAACACATTTATAGATTTTAATGTACATTATTGTAGATTATTGTTAATAGAAAATACAGTCTTTTGATTGGTTGTTTCTCACAGAAAGTTCACGTTACATCTCTTTATGGCTGTGTCAGATCCGCCTATGCAAAGCCTTTGTTCTCATTTTTGACCTTGTTTTCACATGACTAATATTTGAGACATAAACATTGACGTCAATTACTGTCTACCAACTTTGACTAGCAGCCAGCTCTCACCACACTTATATTTAGGTTATACCGATTTCTGTGCGTAAATTCGTCGAAATAACTGTACAGATCATCGTGTTTCTTGAATCATTCACCGGTTCGACCCTCTTTTTGAGATGACTCTAGAAACTTTCGATGGAATGTTTATGGGTCTCATCAAAAGGATTAGTGAAATCATCCGTACTATTGACCACGTTATGAATGTAGCTCAGGGATAACAGTTGGTTACACGTTTTCTCCCTTCCAATCAGTCTGTGGCCTAAGGGGTACTTAAACACTAGGTATGGATGAGATTTGCTAAGTAATTCGTGTGCAGCACCGATACTTCCGCCTGTGTACTACGGAATCATCCGACTGGTTGCTCAAGGTCACCAGTCCGTTCACTAGGTAGTTTCGTTTTGGACTGCTATTGTTTAGAGTCATCCTGTCAGTTATATGCTGATATTGGTAAACTGGTTATCAAGTTACATTTCTCCACTAACTGACTGTGAATACCCCCCCTACACACACTTTCTAGTTCAGTCTATAAGATTCAGTAATAAAAAATTTTAAAAAATCAGTTGCCCAATATGTATTTTTAATTCGTTAATAATCCCCATCTAGGCATCAATGAAGCAGTGACTTCGTCCAATTCTAGATATCTCAGGTTCCTCTTATCATGTCTGGTTGATATTCTGGAACCTTCAAGGAAACATATACGCATGTATTATCATTATTTTTTTTTGATTACAGCTTGATTCCACACCGTAATTTTTTGGTACAGGTATGGACTTTTCAGCATGTGATATCGGTAGCCCAAATTTCGCAGGCCGACCATAGATATCAGGTGAGCGTCGGCAGGTGATCGAACTCCGGACCATGTGCATGGTCGGCGAGAGTCCTAACCATTGTGCCACCGAGGCACTTTTCAATTTGTCCACTGTATACAAGATATGAGTGTTACTAACAGAAGTATGTTGTTTCTTGACAGTGAACCACTTTTCACCAACGTTCCATATATGGAAACTGTGTTTTGTATACACAGATGCAAAGCAGTTTAACGTTGGAATAACAATAACATATTTGAAAGCACTGCTGCTGAAATGTACTCTTAATGTTCGTTTCATTTTCTGACAAAAGAATGGGATTGCATTGCCAATTGTCTTTGGTTCACTGCTAGCAGACTTTTTCATAGCAGGCCTTGAGAACGGTCGATTAAAGTCAACTATTGATAATTTTCAACTGTATAAAAGGTATGTGGATGACATTTTTATTATTTGGGATAACAGTTATGCATTACCCTAATCAGTTGTTACAGTTAGTTGAACAACTTCCATCCAACACCAAAATTCACTTGTGAAGTGGAAAGCATGTCTAAAATTCCCGTTCTTGATGTT